TGAAGTATGTAATAAGTGAAAGGAGAAAAAAAAGAAGATGCTGACAACAAAAACTACGCTTCTATGATTAAATGATCGTTTGAAGTCATGTTTTGTTTGGATTAAAACAAACCAAATTATTTATTTCCCAAACAAATTACTGAATGGAAAAATCTGTGACACTGATTTTTCATAAACCAATCTAAGAATATCTGAGACTGACACGAACCAAAGACCGGAATTTAATCCAGAAGATCTTGCAGAGTGTGAAATTTAATAAACGTTAATAAATTTAATAAAGTGTTATTGTTGCTGAACAGACGAAAAGTACAAAAATAAGCCTTTCTCCTCCCTTACATGCGTCGATTTAGATTAATCTAATGGCTACCGAATGTGTGGGCATGATGTCACAATGAGCCTTTCATTATGAAACTGCAAGAGCAGTATTCCTTGTTATATTTTCAATAAGAGGATGAATGGCTTGGCGCCACATCAACAGATTGCCCAGCACAGTCGTCGTAATGTAGAATATGCTGTCCTTATTATTCAAGTCTGATGGAATTTATTCTTAAAGAAAAAGAAATAAGAATAAGAATACGGCTGCGACAGACTGGAGACCTGTCTAGGGACAACGGTGTACAGAAAATGAATGAATGAATGAATGAATGAATGAATGAATGAAATGAATGAATAATATGCAGCTACTTGTGGAACTTTTGGTCACAAAATAAAAAGGAGCAAAACAGAGAGGATACGGTGAAGCAAAGTTTGTCAAGCTTTGACAAATGGTGGCCTTGCTGCTGCAAAGGTCAACAAAACCTTCAGGAGTAAAAACATTTTCACATTCCCTTTATTCCCACTAGGAATGAGCCTTTATGAGATTCTGACAGAATGATAACCTTGAGCAGAAATATCACACTCTCATGATAGTAGTGTGAAACAAAAAACAGAAAAACTAATTCAGAGATGATGATTAAACAGTTTTATTTACTTTTGAGGAAATAATAGCATGTTCCTATATAAATGATTAAAATGACTTAAGTGTAGATGTCAGCCAAAATCATCTTAAAAATTAAGGCTGAAATCTTTAGACAGTAAATTTGCTGATCAGAAGTCAAAAAATATATTTTTTTCAGTCATGTTTTAAGATGTGAATACGACATTTATTGATGATATAGTGAAATCAAACATGGAAAAATACAGTGTCTGACCTAGGAAAAGTACAACACTGACTTTTTGTTGATTTCTACCACTGCTATTTTTCTCTACAGTTTTCAAGACGTCCACTTCTCAGTTTGTAGGTGTAAACAAATTACTAATTGGGTTTGTTCTCGTCGGGGGGGGATTGTCTGGAGGAGGAACATTATCAACCCCAGAAGAAATTTAACTACAGGGGAAAAAGAATCTCTTCCTCGCTCACTCTTCTGCATGAATCACTTCATCTCATCTGATGTAATGAGAGGAGTAGCCCTATTACTGGGTCATTATCATTCACACGGGCCGTGCGTTTCAGCAGCTTTACCTTATTGTTGTGAAGCAGTTGGAGCAGAAAACCTCAACCTGCAAAGATTAACCCACTGACAGATGTTTCAGCATTAGTCATAAGTCACATGGCCGCAAGTTTATGAAGGGAGTTTTTGATCTCCTCAATGTGTAGGGCGGCAAGATAAACAAACCCATGTCTAGTTGTTTTCATGTTAAACTTTGGAGTTACTTCCCTTAATGCGGTAATTTGCAAGCTTAGACAAACTGTAGCTGTTTTGCTGCAGGTCAACACACACCTTCATTACTTAATTGGCCTTTTTCTCTTTTCTCTCACATTTGCAAGAGTGGATGAGAGAAATTAGTCCTTTAGTGATGAGGAATTCTACTAAATTAAAAACAATCTTCCAAATACAAAGATTTCAAGACACTTTGAATAACAAACTACGAAATACAAAAAATACAGTTAGTCATTTAAAGAGAAATTGTGTTTTTTTGGGAGGGGTGGGGGGTTCACAAATTATTGATATAACATTTTTTTCCTAACTGAAATGTCCTCAAAGGTCAGATTTTTAGATGAGTGTGAGATTATTCCTCAGCGATTAAAGACTAATTTACTTTAGTGACTTCTGCAGGGCCTGATAAAGGTGGAATGCTATTTGTGCAGCTTGTTGATTTATGGGAACTCTGTAAAATACACAACCTTGATGAGCTCTGCTTCAGCCTTTCAAACAAGAAGAAAAGGCATCTGTTCCGCTTACAGAAATATTTTTAGCTGGTAGTCTTAGATGAACTCTCTTTTTCTCAGTCTACTCTAAAACACTCCAGACATGAAAGTTGTCAATTGTCTCTCTATTCTGCCTCCCTCAAAGCAAAATAATCTTCTCTCCTTGCTGCACGCAACACAAGCCTCCAAAACTAAGACCAAAATTAGTTAAAGGGATTGTTTTAATCGTGAATAAACAGACAAGCGTGCACCGAGAAAAAGAAGAAACATGAGAATAGGGTGTTTGCTTTAATGCGGTTTGGAGCTGCAGGATGAAGCTCCATTGTTGTTAGTGTGTACCCAGAGAACACCTCTCCTGCACACCTGTACTCTGCTGTCTTCGATTTGCAGACACAGAGGGAGATCATCTTACTTCAGACAATAAGTATCCAGCTGCAGAGACAAACAGATCCCAGACAGCAACCAGGAATAATTAGACAGTTCTAAGCAAAAAATGAGTATTTTGGTATGTTTGAAGTGCCTTTGGCTGAAGGTGCGCACGAGTACTTGCAGTGCAGATCGCCTTACTATGCAAAGTCAGGTAAGACCATGAATAAGACCATTGTTTAATGCAAAAACATTGTGGAGTAAAACCATAAAAACGCTTTGCAGTGCAGGACGTTTACGATTTTGCACTTGCTATTCTAACAGCCCCATTCTGATCAGCAGGGTTTCCTGTAAAGAACTTGACTGAGTTTCTCAACTGAAGGCATCCTAACCACTATCAGCTACACACAGACATTTCATATGTCAACCCACAGAATTGAGGAAATTACCCCATAATGCAGCAGATTAGCAGTAATTATGAGAATTAATCTATTCCAACATTACAGAGGAAGACATGTTAACGCCTCAGAGGTCTGTTTCTCAGCACCAGACAATAGATCTGTCACATACAGGGAACCACAAAGTCTGCTGTATTTGACGATAATACAGTGAGTTTTTCCATGTTTGTCTGCTGATAACTGAGTTACAGGTGGCTGGTGTTTATATTCAATGGGCAAGAAGTGAAGAGCACTGGGGTCAGTTGACCAGGCCACACATCGGACAGAGATCTATGGGCATAGCTGCATATGTTAATGGTTCAAACACCAAATATACCTCAATATGCTCTAATACGCACAGGAGAAACCGCCTTGTCACTACCACAAAAGGAGCTAGCATCTAAGCTTGCCGCAATAAGCAATTAAGAATTTAATCGCTTGGCAAATTAAGATGAGCTTGCTAATTTTCATTCTGATGATTATTTTTTGAAGGGCAATTCTGCTTGCAGAGACATCAGAATCCATATCATTTATGGTGTGTAAGTGTAAGGGTTTTGTTTCCATTTTGTTTACTGTTTTGGACAGTTGTGTTTTATTTTGTACATTTAAAATATTTAAAGTGTTCTTTTTAAAATGAAAGTTTATTCGTCTTTGAGAGAATTAACTTGAATCATTATCCCATTGTCATCATATTACTTGAAAATGATCTCAATACAAAAACCATTACCAAAATAATTACTGGGACAATTTAGCATCCAGCAACATTTGTGATTGTGACAAATTTTACTACTAAGCCGACTAAAATCTGCAGGCTTCTCGATCGCTGCAATTTGGGTTAAAGCCAACCAGAGCCAAGAAAACTGAATGGTGCTCCTGGATCGACTGCTTTGTAAATGCCAGCTCATAATTATTTTGGCTTCCAGCATTTTCTTTGGAATATTTCAGAAAAGCTGTATGAGAAAATTTGGAGTTCCACTCTATAAACGACAACAATCAGTAAAATAAGATAAAATTAAATATCAAAATCCATGATGAGTTTAGGCAATGGGAAGTGAGTGAGAATACTTTTTGTTGCGCTTTTCTAAAAAGCACACTCGGAGTCTGATGTTGGCAACAATCAGATTCACCATGAGGGCTGTGATGTCATGATCAACTTTGATAGCACAGAAGTAGTGGAGGGTGTCACATTTTAGAAAAAAATATAAAGATTTAAACTCCTGCTCCTCTCTCATTTTAGATAATAAAATAACAATAATCTGGCATTTCAGTGTAATATATATATATATATATATATATATATATATATATATATATAAGTTGTTTTTTTTTTTTTTTTTTTTTTTAAAGCAAAGTAAGTAACCACTCCCTGTTTTTTGTTCCTTCTAATTAAACATTAGAAGAGTGGACTAAAACAACCTGCCCATGCAGCTTACAGTCCGAACCAACACAAATAGGATGAAACTGCACAATTTCGATTGTTGCAGGGTCCTGACAACATTGCAACTGGGGTTAGTCATGCTGCATGGAAGAGACAACAATCAGCTTCTCCTCAAGTTCCCCAGAAGTCTTCAGGCAGGCCTGATTTCTCTGTGTGATATGAATGAAGTCACTTTCTAAGCAGAAAACCCCATAATGATTCATTGTCCTCGTACAGAGTAGCGGCAGCCACTAACTGGAAAACAGTGAACTGTCCTGCTTGTGTCGATAACGCCTTCATGTGATTAAACCATTTGACTCAATGAGCCAAACGCGTTGAAATCAACCGCTGTGGCTCTGAATGAGGAGGTCCAGCGAAGTAATTAAGACAAAAACAGCAACAAAAATAGACGCGTTTTCTGCATCCAAATCATTTGAAAACCCCCTCCAGTGGTGGGTTTTATTTATCAGCCGAACATGGAGCATGCATCATCATCATCTCTGGATGTTGCTCCGAGTCCCGAAACAAACGAGCACATTTGAGCGTGCAGATCTGCACGGAAACCAAACGGAGAGCGAACAAAAAGCCTCACCTAAACGCCGCCTCGCTGCTGTCTGGATGCTGCTGGCCGCCGCTTCATTATTCCGCTCCCGTTCGCCTTGTTGCACAGCGAGCATGCGGCTCGGCTCGCCTCGCCTCGCCTCGCCTCTGCCCTCCCTCCGTTCACTGAGCCGATATCCACTACAACTCTGAGCAGAGCGGCTGTGTTGTCTGTCACATTGTTGCTGCCCTTTTCTCTCTCTCTCTCGCGTCCATATCCGATTTTTTTTTCGTAAAGAGGCGGAGTCAGGGAGAGACATTTTTGTTTCATGCCAAGCACCGAGGTAACAAGAAGGGGAGGGAAAGGAAGGAAGGAAAACGACCAACAAAAGAAAAAATAACAAGGAGGGTCAATAAAATATCTGTCAGCCTGAAAATGCAAAAAATAAATTAAAAAATTGGTGGAAGCTGAAGAATATTTCAGATTTGACCGTTTTCCTTCTGGTTTGTTTTGCTCACAGCAGATATAAATACATATATTTTAATCTAATATTGTTTTGGCATAATTGAAATATGTCATATCAATAAATTGTATCATGCCGTGTCGTGCACACTTCCGTGGGAAGACAAACATGGAACATGATTCCAATCCAACCATGGCAATGAAAGTTTGGTGGAAGGAAAAAAGTGGTACGGGCTAAGATGTACAAGCAAGCTGAAGCTTACAAACTACTGATTTCACTTGTTGGATCTATTTGACAGCATGTCCTTATATTGTGAAGTATGGATCATACTTCTTCTAAATGTATGAATTGTTGAACAGCCCAGTGTTTGCATTGAGGATATCAGTGTGTGTCTCAGCTGAGGTGTTTAGGAAGCCCAGGTTGCTCTCATTGCAGTCTACTGCTCACATTTAGGTTGTGTTGTCTCTCCATCTTCATTTTATTAATAGACAGTATGTTTTCTTTGGGGCTTTGGTCAGACCGGTTTGTTCAGTCAAGCACAGTGATACAATCATCTGTAAAGCAGATACTTTTACAGTGAGGTAAAGAGCTGGAAAATGAAACTGCCGTTTCTATAAAGCTTCTCAGCAGAGGGGAAGCATGAAGTGCCTCAAGATTTCCGCTGCCCTGGGTCTGGACAAAACCCTGAGCAAATATCGGAAGATGACGTGACTCCCAAAATCACTGCTGACTATGGAAACCTCAACCTGCCTGGAGTCTGTGCAGGGTCAACAGCAACATTTCAGTTCTTTTTGTCCTCAGATGAGATGAGAGACTCTGACGCTGTTTGTGATTCTCAGATTTTTAATACAATAATGTTACAATTGTAGACCATGTTTAACACTAATCTGTGTGGTGATTAATGTAGCACTGACTCCAGCTACATTAATCACGTGTGGTACAAAACGGTTCACATTTTGTTAATCTCCCCCAAGCTTTTGAGTCAACTTTTATCTGTGTTGCTTTTGTAGTATTTACTACCTCACATTCCCCCTCCATTTAACTTCCTATTAATATTCTTGCAAATAGCAAGCAGGCATCTTATTTAGCAAATACTTTTTGTGTCTTACTCTCTGATTGCTAATGACATAAGTGACTTTCTATTGGTTAAATGTCAAGTCAGCTGTCTTCCCCATGATTATGTGGACTCTCTTGTGTAAAACTTCCTGTTATTGGTCATATCTACCGTATTTTCCAGACTATAAGCCGATTTGAACCATGCGGCTTATAGCCCCGTGAGGCTTTTCTGTGGATTTTTCTTCAACCACCAGGGGGCGTTTCAGCGCGAAGTGAATCACCGGAAGTCAAAATTGGAAATGAAAGAAGAAAGCGCTAATTTTCGTTTAGAACAAGCACATGTAAGCAGCAGGCACGATAGAGAAATGTTTTCAAACTCTCATGATGCAGCTTTAAAGTTGAAGGTTATCGAACTAGCAATACAGGAGGGCTTGGCTTTGGAGACGGAGGGCTGAGGCCTTAATATCTGAAGCAGATTTATTAAGGCTGCCCTCTGCTGGGTATTTATAGAAAACTAAGAGCAGCAAAGATGCCAGCGGCTATAGGTGCAGCAATGGACCTTACCATAATGGCCGCGTTTCATTGGCTGATGCCCATTCTGCAAGGTAGCATTAAAAAAACATCACAATTTATTTATTAGCCTTTTGTCAGCGGGGATGGGCCAACAGCGTCTCATCCTGATCAGACACCAGCAGTCGGAGTCCAAGTGCATAAAGCAAGGCTTGCAGGAAAAAGAGCATCAGTTGTCCATTGCGGCCACGTGGGATTTTCTAGGTCGTTTGTGGGCGGAGCTTGGTATGGCAATGTATGTACGTTTATTTATTTTTTTCTAAAAATTTGTAGGTGCGGCTCTATAGTCTGGAAAATATGGTAGTTTTCAAACTACAAATCATATTTTGGGTTTTCATTACATCGTAAATGTATTAATGTTCAGCAGTAAATATAACTTGAGCAATATCACTTTGCATGTAATTGATCTATTGTAGTTTCTCTTTTTGAATTGAATTACTGAAATTAATTAAATGTTTGATAATATTCTAATGTACTGAGAGTTGTCTTTATGTAAACATCCTCAGTACACAATATCATGACATGTGACTTTTCTTCCAGGATTTTTGTCCTGCTCATAACCAATCGCTTTGGCAAATATTGCCCTAACTTGATTACTCTCTTGTCTGTAGAGCAAACAGATTGTTGAACAAATGAAGTGCTACACCTTTCCTAAAGGTTACACCTTTGCCGTGCTGTGTCTTTAGCATGCAAGATAATTCAATGTAAAGGTTTTGTTTTCTATCCAAGAGACTCCAAGACTTGCTTTTATGAGACTATCTGGAGAACCCAAAGAACCAGCAACAAGACGTGGGGGCAATATTCAGAGACTCTAGCAAGGCAAGAAGCTAAAAGGATGAAGTGCAATACATCACCATAGCCCAGAATAGGCGAAAAGGTTGTTTCCACCAGTTTCTTTTCCACACAAAAGGAAAAGCAAGACTTATTTGTGTGGAAAAATCCCAAGATTTTCAACATACTGATAATGCTTCTTTCAAAAATTACTACATTTATGCAGGCTCATGAATGAACAAACACCAGAAGAAGACACGATTCCAAAAAGCATTTCTGACTCAAGCTGCTTGGATTCAGTGGGGGGTCAACAGGAACTTTTTGTCCTCAGTCGAGATAAGAGGCTCGGATGTTGCCCCGGGTTATCAGATTTTAAACACAGATTCAATGTGTTAGAAATTCTTATTGTTACATAAAAGTCACTCGGTCAGATTTATTAATAATCCTGTGCGTGATTCGAGAGATGAAAAGTTACACTCTTGAACTGCCTTGACAGAGAGAAAGCTCTGACTTCGAGTACCAAACATGTCTGTTATATGAGAGAACATAAGAAAAACAATGGGAGGCAGATGTTAAACAAAAAACAACGTGTCTGGAACAACCTTCAGTGTGTTAGACAAGATCATTCTGTGAAAGTTTATAAGCATCAAATTAAAGATGACATGACCTTCAGAACAATAAAGCCATAAGACTCCTCCTTGAACTATTTGTTTCCATTACTTTGTCTTCACAATGGCTCAGACATTTGCATATTTACCTATAAACACATCTGGTATCACTCTTTCTTATCTTTCTTTTCTAAAGAAATATAGAAATGATAACCTTAGCTCTATGACTGGAAGCCTGAAACATACAATTAAAGCTTCAACTTCAAACCTTTCTCTCATTAGCCTGGCCATTGCTTTCCCAATCAATGGACTTGACACCATCTGACAGTCATTCCAGCACTATTTGTCCCAAAGTACACGCCCCTTTTCTGAAGGACCTGAATCCTTGACAATGTTGCCAGGGGTCCTCATTGCTAATGCACTCTGGTCGTAGAGATTTTGAGAAAGACAATAGGAAATCATGGTCCAACGTTGTCAGAGGGGAACATGCAGTCGCCCAGATTGTTTAGAGGGCGGAAAACGATTTAATATATTTCGCAATCCCAAACGGAGTCTGGAATAACACAAGAGATTGACTCAAGCCTGCAGACGACCTCATGTCCATCTACAAGAAGTTTACTGTTAGTAAACATGCCAATTTTTTTGTCATGACGACGCTTATTGATGGTCAAATTAAAGATCAATAAGTGAAGGTAGTGATTCTTGATTTCATGTGTGTAAATTCTAATGGTAGCTGTATGACAGCATTTAAACATGTGCTGCAGTAACTGCTGGTATTTGCATTTAAGCACCTTTTTGTGCTAATTTTTAATTTTAAGAATTTACCTGAAGGCTGATTTTCACAAGCCAGTATTTAAGTCATTACTCACCTGTTATGAACATGTAAAATGTGTCTTACACTGTTAGGATTTTAGTTGGTGTGGGTGTTCTTGTAATAGACGATCTTCGTGGGAGCGCATCTGAAGCGCACCTGAAGCGGATCTCCTACAATTGGCGGCAGGATTCTTAAGGAGCGGTGGCGCAACCAGTCATCACTCGATGGTCCCACTTGTTGGTCAGAGTCAAATCTCAAGTCTTGTTAAGTCTCAGGTCCACAGAAGATCTAGTAAGCTTTGTGTGTTCTCCCACAGATTGGAGACGTCTCGTTGGATCCTGCCAGGAATTGCATCTGCTCTACTGCCAAGCTGACTACGGATCGACCGGAAACATCTGCCTGCCGCCTCGGCCCCTAAAACCTCGCCGGACCTCCACACCAACACTTCCTACCACCTCCCTCAGCAACTCTCCTTCCCCTTCTCGTTCCCTCCTCTGCCACGATCCCGCCGTCCTTTTCCTATCTAAACCTCTCCCCTCTCCGAGCAGCACCCGAGCCGACCCTCTGTTTTCCAGCTCAGAGGACAACCCGGACTCACCACCCATACAGAACTGTAAAATAAATCTTTTTGAACTTTAATCCTCATGGCTTGTTGTTTGAGGCCTGCATGTGGGTAAAAAAACTAAAATCCAACATGACATACACAGCATTCACACTCATGTCCAATGAGTCTTTGTACCCACCATTCTTCCTGTGGTTAAGAAAGACGTGGCCTTTAACACTGATTTTGTCTACAGACCTGATGTAGGACAAGTTGGAACATTTTCTTTCCTTTTCACTTCACTCAAAAAATGCCTGGGGTAACACAAAACAAGAAGTTTATCTTCTTGTTGTTGACGTTAATCAGCATTACAGCCACCTACTGGTAAGGTGGCTGTAATGCCACCAAACCTAAATCCACCATCAAGCCATCAGCAA